TTCTTAAAAATCACTGACACAACAAACTAAGCAAAAGCGTAATTTCATCAATTTTCCATGAAATTTTGTACTTTTGTTTTATTACCTTCAGAAAAAGATTCTCTACCATTTCTTAAGAATATAATTTTTTTTTAATTCTTGGACATTATGGACAAATTTTAGATAGGGGGTCTGAACAGTGGAAGGGTTAAGGAGATGAAATTATTGATGTTAATGAGAAAGCAAAGGGCCAAGGACACTGCCCTGTGACACTCCAACGGCTACAGGCTGAGTAGTCGAGGTCACATTATTTGTGGAGACATATTGGTGTCTACTGCTAATACAGTAGGGCCCCACTTATACGGCGGGTTAGGTTCCAGGCTGTCCCCGGAAAGCAGACATCGCCGGAAGGCAGAACACCATTTTTTTCCATTTATAAATGCATATAAATGCCAGACAACAAGTTTACACTAAATTATATTCTTAATGTAGGGAGAGAGGTGAGTAGTACTTATTTGTAGGAAGTCAGGTGCAGGTAGCCCAGGTGTAGGTAGCCCTGGCTCCCCGTCTCATACTTAATATACGATATTTAAAACATCCCAGAGAGGTAAAATACACATAGTGGACCCCCGGTATTTGATAAAACTGGTATTCGATGCATTATATCACAAAAAATTTTCCTCTGTATTCGATTGAAAACCCGGTATTCAATACGATTCGTTCGAGACCTGTCCACATGTGGCCTGAACTGCCCCTTGTGTGCCAGTGTTTACAAGCCAGCCAGTGTGCTCGCATCTAAGGATACATTCGGTACATTCCATATTCTCCATATTATCACTGTGTTTGGTGCTTGTTTCTGCAAAATAAGTCACCATGGGCCCCAAGAAAGCTTCTAGTGCCAACCCTGTGGTAAAAAGGGTGAGAATTAGTATGGAAATTAAGAAAGATTTTGAAGGGTTTGGGGCTAACCCTGAGAAGCCTATACCAGTTGTGGAATACATTGTGCCTACTTTAAAAATTAAGGAAATGTGTGCACAGTGGGTTGAAGTGCAAACCTTTATGGATGAAAATCACCCTAACACAGCTATTACAATGACAATGTTGTGGCCCATTTTAGACAAATCATAAAGGAACGGGGGGTACAGATTTGTTGTGCAACAGAGGTCCAGTGACTCTCAAGCTGGTCCTAGTGGCATTAAAAGAAGAAGGGAAGTAACCCTGGACAAGGACTTGGTACCTCAAGTCCTAATGGAAGGGGATTCCCCTTCTAAACACTAACACCTCTCCCCTCCTTCCATCCCATCAATCATCACCAGATCTTCATTAAAGGTAAGTGTCAATTATTTTATTGTTATTGTAATTATTCTATTGCATTAAACTTAATATTTCATGTAGTAAAAATTTTTTTTTTCATACTTTTGGGTGTCTTGCACGGATTAATTTGATTTTCATTATTTCTTATGAGGAAAATTGATTCGGTTTTCGATATTATCGGTATTCAATGAGCTCTCAGGAACGGATTAATATCGAACACCAGGGGTCCACTGTACAGTACACTCATTATTTACCTTAAAATATGTGTAGTCTTAATATAGGAAGAGAGGTGAGTAGTATATATTTGTAGGAAGTCAGTGTAGGTAGCCGGTAGGTGTAGCCCGCCTGGGCTACACCTACCGGCTACCTACACTGTGGCCCAGAGCCATATTATTAACATCGACATACTGTGTTCACTGAATTTAATAATTTCTAACAACTACCTTTAGATGCCATCATAAACGAAGGTAGAATTAATGAATAATTCATGCCGAAAATTGTAAACAAAAGCAGAGTGGGGGAGTGGCTGGGCCAAACGCAGATTCATACACGTTTTCTCTGATGGCTGAGCAGTGAAAACATAGCGTTGTCCCTCCACCCGGCTACCACACAGGTCCTCAAGTATTATTATCAGAGCACACATAAAATATGCAATAAATGCCAGACAACAAGTTTACACTAACTTATATTAAGTTAGCAATAGAAATAGGCATTAAAACACAATAAAAGGTAAGATACACACAGAGTACACTTATTACTTACCTTAAAATATTAATATTAATGTGTGAGAGGTGAGTGGCAGGGTGTTTATTGAATAAAATCAGAATGGCACACCATCATCCTCTAACTTGGCACTTAAAGCAAGAGGCTTACGACTTCTCTTTTTATCACAGCCAACCTTAGACGCCATCGTCAATGAGAGCCAACTAGTTAACCCTTTGACTGTCGAAGGGCCAAATCCTGAAGTTGCTTCTGGTGTCGCAAAATTTTCGAAAAAAAAAAAAATTATTTTTTCTTATGAAATGATAGAGAATCTTTTCCCGATTGTAAAGACACCAAAAAAACGAAATTTGATGGAAAACTGACGGAATTACGCTCTCGCGAAGTTAGTGACTTCGGCGATATTTAAAAATCGGCAATTTCGCCCACTTTGAGCCCTATTTTCGGCTAATTCCGTTATTCCAGTCAACCAAACTCATAACTATTTCTTCAGAACTCTATTTTTTCTATCGATTGAGTACAAGAAACTGCATATTTACCGATTTCAACTACCCAATAACATGGTCAGAAATTTGCAATTTGGCCAATTTCACGAAAATTAAAAAATACGACAATTTCAAAATAAGGTCCAGAATGAACAATGCAGACATTCCTGGCTCTAAAATAACATTTTCTTTGTTCATCAGTCATGTCTCCAGGTCCCTGTGATATTACTCTTGCTTTTTATTTGAAATTTTATTCAAACAAAAAATAGAAGATTTACTGTTATGCAGACTACTGCAATACTGTAATAATTGTAAAAATTACATCAACCCATTCATGACTGCGTATTAGAATGGCTATTTGGACATTTATTGGACAATGACATCATTTGTTTACTTTTGAACATGGGCAAAAATCAAACATTTCCTGTACTTTGTGCTCCATTTCCAGGTTTTTTTTATAGTAAAATTAATCAAAATCACCTCCATTTCTATAATATAGTTTCCATTCTATCAAATGAGACCAGAAAACGAGAATACAACCACAAATACTATACGAAAATAGACCACAAAGTCGGCATTTTAATTAAAAAAAACGGTCGGAGTTTTTTTTTTCTCATTATGCACTGCGTGCTCCAGGATTTTTTTTATGTGGTGCACACTGACCACACAGACCCATTCTCTCACATGTGGGCCTACTAGCTTTCTCCTGCCTGATTTGAAGCCGCTAGAATTTATGAGTATATATACGTCAAACACGGTACCTCGCAAACGTATATATACGGCCGCGACAGTCAAAGGGTTAAGGAAAGAGTAAACGAGAGAGAGAACGAGATACAGAGTTGAGACAATGTAAGAACACAAACTGAACAGGTAGTGTACGATCACTTGGTCAGGTGAAATAAATGCATATTAATATGTCTACTTTTAGTTCATTCACGTCCATTTGTAAGAGTTTGTAAAACATTTACCTCAATATTTTTTTATTATAATAATTACCCCACAGTACAAATACTCTTATATTGTGTACAAGTTGTACAAGTTAGTTCAGAAGAAACAAACAGCAACACACCATTTTTAGAGTGAATGAAGATAATAATAATAATAATAATATCATTATTATTAATATTAATAATAATAATAAATTATTATTATTATAATAAAAGGCACTAAACCCACAAAGGTCGTGAATTGCTATATATAGAGTAAAGGCATACGAAAAGAATATTTTTTCTACAGTTACCCCCCAGTGTTTGACTAGAGAAAACGTAATTCTTCCGACACTACCTACACAGCTGCTTTGTAAACAAATCTCATATTTACATCAATTTTTATTCTGTGAGTGTATGTATCATGTTTATATGCTATGTAATGGGTTTCATATATAATTTTGAGGAAAATATCATAGATGGATTAATGAAAATGCCTATATTGATGTAAAATAAGACATTTAGTGTGCCCAAGAGTGATTATTATTACGTAGTATTGGGGCGCCATGAGTAGAGAGACTCTTAGCGATTTTAATGTGTACCTGCACACCAGTACAGTGTGTAAGTATATTTAGGTACAGGTACACATAAGTATAATTATCAGAGTATGTATAAAATATGCAGTAACTTTAAAACACTTGAAAATTTGGAAAGTTTCCTGACATAATAGATTTGGTCACGGAAAATGTAAACAAACCGGGTGGGGGGCACCATATTTGAAAGACCGCTTGCCGTATAGCAAATTTTGGTCATAATTTGACATCGCCATATTAGCAGAGCGCCGTAAGGTGAAACGCCATAAAGCGGGGCCTTACTGTATACGATATTTAAAACATCTCAGAGAGGTAAAATACACATACAGTACACTCATTATTTACCTTAAAATATGTGTAGTCTTAATATAGGAAGAGAGGTGAGTAGTATTTATTTGTAGGAAGTCAGTGTAGGTAGCCGGTAGGTGTAGCCTGCCTGGGCTACACCTACTGGCTACCTACACCATGGCCCAGAGCCATATTATTAACATCGACATACTTTCTTCTCTGAATTTAATCATTTCTATCAACTACCTTTAGATGCCATCATAAACAAATGTAGAAGTAATGAATAATTCATGCCGAAAATTGTAAACAAAAGTGGAGTGGGGGAGTTGCTGGGCCAAACGCAGATTCATACACGTTTTCTCTGATGGCTGAGCAGAGAAAACGTAATGTTGTCCCTCCACCCGGCTACCACACAGCTCCACAAGTATTATTATCAGAGTACACATAAAATATGCAATAAATGCCAGACAACAAGTTTACTCTAACTTATATTAAGTTAGCAATAGAAATAGGCATTAAAAGCACAATAAAAGGTAAGATACACACAGTACACTTATTACTTACCTTAAAATATTAATATTAATGTTTGAGAGGTGAGTGGCAGGATGTTTATTGAATAAAATCAGAATGGCACACCATCATCCTCTAACTTGGCACTTAAAGCAAGAGGCTTATGACTCCTCTTTTTATTACAGCTAACCTTAGACGCCATCGTCAGTGAGAGCCAACTAGTTAACGAAAGAGTAAACGAGAGAGAGAACGAGATACAGAGTTGAGACAATGTAAGAACACAAACTGAACAGGTAGTGGTTGATCACTTGGCCAGGTGAAATAAATGTGTATTAATATGTGTCTATTTTTAGTTCATTCACGTACGTTTGTAAGAGTTTGTAAAACATTTACCTCAATATTTCTTTTATTATAATAATAATTACTTCACAATACAAATACTCTTACATTGTGTACAAGTTGTACAAGTTAGTTCAGAATAAACAAACAGCAACACACCTTTTTTAGAGTGAATGAAGATAATAATATTATTATTATTATTAATATTAATTATAATAATATGTATTATTATTATTATAAAAAGCACTAAACCCACAAGGGTCATGAATTGCTATATATAGAGTAAAGGCATACGAAAAGAATATTTTTCTACAGTTGCCCCCCAGTGTTTGACTAGAGAAAACGTAATTCTTCCAACACTTCCTACACAGCCGCTTTGTAAACAAATCTTATATTTACATAAATTTTTATTCTGTGATTGTATGTATCATGTTTATATACTATGTAATGGGTTTCATATATAATTTCGAGGAAAATATCATAGATGGATTAATGAAAATGCCTATATTGATGTAAAATAAGACATTTAGTGTGCCCAAGAGTGATTATTATTACGTAGTATTAGGGCGTCATGAGTAGAGAGAGACTTAGCGATTTGAATGTGTACCTGCACACCAGCACAGTGTGTAAGTATATTTAGGTACAGGTACACATAAGTATAATTATCAGAGTACATATAAAATATGCAGTAACTTTAAAAACACTTGAAATTTTGGAAAGTTTCCTGACATAACAGATGTAGTCACAGAAAATGTAAACAAACCGGGTGGGGGGCGCCGTATTTGAAAGACCGCTTGCTGTATAGCAAATTTTGGTCATAATTTGACATTGCCATATTAGCGGAACGCCGTAAGGCAAAACGCCGTAAAGCGGGGCCTTACTGTGTAAGATTTTAGGTATTTGAGGGTCTGTCCTCTGACCCCATAGTGTTCTAGTTGAAGGAGCAAAATATTGTGGTCTGCTGTATCAAATGCTTTCCATAGGTCTGTGAAGAGCCCCAGAGGATATTAATTTTTTCATGTGCTGCATATATACAGTATATAGCAATTTGAGCATTTGTATAACTGCATCAGTCATGGCAGGGATTAAGTATATTGTGAGATAATTAGGAGAAGACTCATTTATGTAATATTTTTTCAAAGATTTTGGGTATGTTACAACCTCTTAAGTGCTTTCAACGAATGTAATAATACTAATAAGTGTTAATAAAGCATGCTTTAACACCAAAAAGTGTAAATAAACTGTAATAAAGTGTGCTGCATCAACACCAGTTCACTAATTAGGGCTGATAGAAGCCCTGCATATTATGATTTTTTTTTTTTTTTTTTTTTTTGCAAATTAATTTGTCAGTCAGTATTATACAAAAGTAAATGGTATAGGTTAATATATTTTTAGGATTTGGAGTTGATAATCATTGTTTTTAGGAAAGACATGTTTGCTGCATTATATTCATTTAATTTTGATTTTATATTTAACTTGCAGAAGTGAAATCACGTGATTGGCCAAAATGGGTGAAGGAATGCTTTCTTTATCTTGGAACAATCATAGTTCTACATTTTGTCACATGCTGTCTGCACTACGAAATGTGGTAAGTTAGCATCCTACAATCTGTCCACATTGAGGTGTACTAATACTATACTTAAGTGAATACACTGTTATAAAAATTAAATACACGATGCAGTACTGTATAATTTTAAAAACCAAATGCACATATCACGCTTAGCATATACAGGAGGGCCCACTTATACAGCAGGTTAGGTCAAGTGAATTGTCATTTTTTTTTTTTTTCATTTTCAAATGCATGTTAAAGCCTGATAATATATTTACACTTTCGTATACAGTGGACCCTTGGTTATCGGTCGTAATGCATTCCAGAAGGTTGGCCTAAATCCGAAAAGGTCGAAAACCGAAATATTTCCCATAAGAATTAATGTAAATACAATTAATACATTCCAGACACCCAAAAATATTAACAAAAAATACATTTTTAAAAATTAACTATAGTTTTACATACACAGAACAATGAGAAAGAAATAAAGGCAGTAATTTTAATAATAAATGAACTTCACATACCTTTACTGAAGACACTTGTTGACATATGGAAGAAGGCGAGAAGGGGAGAGGGAGGAGAGATTATTGTTTTGAAGGGGAATCCCCTTCCATGAGGACTTACGGTATCAAAGCCCTCTCTGGGGTTACTTCCCTTCTTTGTATTTTACTGCCACTAGGATCAGCTTGAGAGTCACTGCACCCCTGTTGCACCAAAGACCTGTCCAGAGAGGTCTGTTTCTGGCGTCTCTTTAAGATTTGCCTGAAGTGGACAAGGTTTTGTCACTGAATATGTTGCAGATATGGCTTGTTTGAGCTTGGTCAGGGTGATATTTCTCCACAAAACTTGGCAACTCACTCCACTTTTGCACACATGTCCTTAACCCTTTGACTGTTTTGGTCGTATATATACATCTTACGAGCCAGTGTTTCGGACGTATATATATACTCAGTAATTCTAGCGGCTTCAAATCAAGCAGGAGAAAGCTGGTAGGCCCATATGTGAGAAAATGGGTCTGTGTGGTCAGTGTGCACCACATAAAAGAAATCCTTCAACACGCAGTGCATAATGAGAAAGAAAAAACTCTGACTGTTTTTTTGGATTATAACGCCGACTTTGAGGTGTAGTTTCGTATAGTATTTATAGTTGTATTCTCGTTTTCATGGTATCACATGATAAAATGGAAAACATATTATAGAAATAGAGATGATTTTGATTAGTTTCACGATGAAAACGACCTTGAAATTGAGCTCAAAGTAGCGGAAATGTTCAATTTTTACCAATGTTCAAGAGTAAGCAAATCACACCACACGTCCAATACACATCAACTGGGGAGTCTTATATTCTTTCACTAGTGAACCATTTTTTCAATAATACAGTAGTCTGCATAACAGTAAATTTTGTATTTTTTGTATGAATAAAAAATCAAAATAGAAAGCAATAGTAATACAAGAGGGCCATAGAGAATGTCTACTTTGTTTATTCTGGACCCTATTTTGAAATTGGCATCTTTTTTAATGTGCGTGAAATTGGCCAAATTGCCAATTTCTCACCACTTTATTGGGTAGTTCAGTTTGGTAAATGGGCGGTTTCTTGTACTCAATTGATAGAAAAAATGGAGTTCTAAAGAAATAGCTATGAGTTTGGTCAACTGGAACAATGGAATTGGCCAAAACTAGGGCTCAAAGTCGGCGAAATCGCTGATGCGTATATGTCGCCGAGATGGCTAACTTCGTGGGAGCGTAATTCCATGAGTTTTCATCCAAATTTTCTACTTTTGGTGTTGTTACCATCGGGAAAAGATTCTCTATCATTTCATAAGAAATTTTTTTTTTTTTTTTTTTTTTTTTTTTTTTTTTTTTTTTTTTTTTTTTTTTTTTTTTTTTTTTTTTTTTAAATTTTGCGACATAGAATGACAGTTTCAGAAAAGGGCTTGCGACAGTCAAAGGGTTAATCACTAAAGAAGGCACATTCTCCCCTCTCTCTTCCTCCTCTTCTGAAGCAATTTCCTCAGCTGTGGTCTGTTGCTGTTGCAGATGTAGGTCTTGCAGCTCTTCAGTGGTTAGCTCTTCCCTGTGGTTGTCCTCCAACTCTTCCACATCCTGGCAACTCGCCTTCAACCCCGTGGACTTCCTCAAAGACAGTAGATTCCATAACAGGCGTAGGGTTGTCAGGGTCAGCCTCAAACCCTTCAAAATCCTTGTCGAGGACACATTCTGGCCACAATTTTCTCCAAGCAGAGTTCAGAGTCCTGGAAGTCACTTCCTGTCAAGCCTTACCTATAAGGCTTATGCAGTGGAAGATAATAAAGTGATTCCTCTAGAACTTTCTTGGGGTCAATTCAGTGTCTGAGGTCACTTCAAAGCACTTTTGAAACATTGCTTTCGTGTAGAGTTTTTTGAAGTTAGAAATGACCAGCTGGTCTATGGGCTGGATGAGAGGATTGTTGGTAGGAGGCAAGAACTTCACTGTTATAAAATTGAAGTCCTTAAACAATTGGTCTTCCAAGTCTGGAGGATGAGCAATAGCATTGTCCAGTACCAGGAGACACTTGAGTGGCAAGTTATTTTCCAGGAGGTAATTTTTTCACACTGGGGCCAGACACTTCATGGACTCAGTCAATGAAAATTTGCCTTGTGACCTATGCCTTATTATTAGCTTTCCACAACACACACAATTTACTCTTGACGACATTGTTTTTCTTGAATACTCGGGGATTTTCAGAGTGATACACCAGTAAAGGTTTCACTTTGAAATCCCCACTAGCATTACCACAGAACAAAAGAGTAAGCCTATCCTTCGTAGGCTTGTGTCCTGGGAGTGCCTTTTCCTCCTGCGTGATGTAGGTCCTCTTTGGCATTTTCTTCCAAAACAGGCCTGTTTCGTCACAGTTGAACACTAGTTGGAGGAGGACTCCTTCAGCCTCTACGTACTCCTTGAATTCATGCACAAATTCTTCAGCCACACGTTTGTCTGAACTTGTAGCCTCGCCATGCATTACAACACTGTGTATGCCACTTCACTTCTTAAATCTCTCAAACCAGCCTTTGCTGGCCTTAAATTCACTAACAGCAGCACTCTTTCCAGGAATTTTATTCACAAGATCTGCATGCCTTTTCACAAATGATCGACTCCACAACACTGTCTCTCGCTAATTGTTTATCGTTGATCCACACTGACAGTAACTTCTCCACATCTTCAGTTATTGGTGATCTTTGTTTCGTTAGCATATTTACCCCTTTCAGAACATTAACTTCCTTGATTTCTACTTTCTTTGCTAGGGGGAAGTGATTGTTGATTTCAACTTCCCATACATCCTGGCAAGCTCAGCTAAACAAATGCCACTCTCGTACTTTGCTACAATTTCTTTCTTGAATTCTATCATGTTAATCACTTTCTTTACCAAAGCGCTGGCACTGGGAACTTTCTTTGGGCCCATGGTGGCTTATTTTGCAGTTGCATTCAGTAAACAATCACAGAAAAAAATGGATTATAACGAAACGTTTGGATGAATGAAGGGAATCTTGCTAACTCTCCCAGAGACACAGTTAGATTGACTCGTGAATGTGGCAGAGTGGTGGGCAGATGTGTCCACTACAACCAATTTCCGAGTTGTGGGCCAAAATCCAGGATAGAATTTCGGCCAAAAAAGCAGCTGAAATCCGATGTGGCCGATATTTGGAACGGCCGATATCTGAGGGTCCACTGTACAGTGGACCCCCGCATAGCGACCTTAATCCGTGCAAGAGGGCTGGTTGTTATGCGAAATGTTCGGTATGCGAATGAATTTTCCCCATAAGAAATAATGGAAATCAAATTAATCCGTGCAAGACACCCAAAAGTATGAAAAAAAATTTTTTACCACATGAAATGTTAATTTTAATACACACAAAGGCATGCACAATTACATGACACTTACTTTTATTGAAGATCTGGTGATGATTGATGGGATGGGAGGAGGGGAGAGAGAGTGTTAGTGTTTAGAAGGGGAATCCCCTTCCATTAAGACTTGAGGTGTCGAGTCCTTTTCTGGGGTTACTTCCCTTCTTCTTTTAATGCCACTAGGACCAGCTTCAGAGTCACTGGACTTCTTTCGCACAACATATCTGTCCATAGTGGCCTGTACCTCTCGTTCCTTTATATTTTATTTTTTTTATTATCACACTGGCCGATTCCCACCAAGGCAGGGTGGCCCGAAAAAGAAAAACTTTCACCGTCATTCACTCCATCACTGTCTTGCCAGAAGGGTGCTTTACACTACAGTTTTTAAACTGCAACATTAACACCCCTCCTTCAGAGTGCAGGCACTGTACTTCCCATCTCCAGGACTCAAGTCCAGCCTGCTGGTTTCCCTGAATCCCTTCATAAATGTTACTTTGCTCACACTCCAACAGCATGTCAAGTATTAAAAACCATTTGTCTCCATTCACTCCTATCAAACACGCTCATGCATGCCTGCTGGAAGTCCAAGCCCCTCGCACACAAAACCTCCTTTACCCCCTCCCTCCAACCTTTCCTAGGCCGACCCCTACCCCGCCTTCCTTCCACTACAGACTTCCCTAAAGTGTTTCACAACATTGTCAGTGTACAGGTTGCCAACACGGCTTGCAATAGCTGTGTGAGGGTGATTTTCATCCATGAAGGTTTGCACTTCAAGCCACTTTGCACAGATTTCCTTAATCTTTGTAGTAGGCAACTTCTTCAATTTCTCTCTCCCCTCCTCTGAACCAGTTTCCTCAGGTCTGGCCTCTTGCTGTTGAAGTTGATCTATCAGCTCATCAGTGGTTAGTTCTTCATTGTCCTCCTCCACCAACTCTTCCACATCATCCATACTAACCTCCAACCCTAAGGACTTTCCCAATGCCACAATGGATTCCTCAACTGGCATAATCCTCTCAGGGTTAGCCTCAAACCCTTCAAAATCCCTTTTGTTTACACATTCTGGCTACAGTTTCTTCCAAGCAGAGTTCAAGGTCTTCTTAGTCACTCCCTCCCAAGCCTTACCTATAAGGTTTACACAATTGAGGATATTAAAGTGA